TCTTTAAAAAAAATCATTTTATTTGGGGCTCATACAACTGTTATCACCAAATGCATTTTAGAAAATAATTCTTACCTTTCTTTTTCCAGTGCCTTTCTACATAATGGTCAAAACATAGGCCTTTCACCCTTTCTGGGGACCCTGAACACAGGGGGATCGTTGCCAGATCTAACCAACCTCCACTACTCGACACCCATGCCAGCCTCCCTGGACCCGGGCGACCATCCCTTTGGGAGCATGAGTGTGGGGAACAGCGTGGGCAGCCTCCCGGCTGCCATGACACACCTGGGAATAAGAAGCTCATCTGGTATGTATCTTGCTCTTGGTAAGGACCTTGGCCTGGCCCCCTCAGGTTCCCCACCATGGGTCTGTTCATGGGGTTACTGAGTGAAGGTGCTGCCCCTGCGCTAGGCATGGCATTTGCTTTGGTGTGTCTGTTTCTGTGGCTCTGATGAGCTCCAGAGTCATTCAGCTGAACCATGTTCTTCGTCTTCTCTCAGATGCCATGCCCAGCGAGGTGGGGGAGTCAGGAAATAAGGGTCCCTCTGTGTTGGCAGAATAATATTAGTGAACCCCAATCAAGATTGAAGGATACTTTCTAATTAGAATTCTCTCTCTTAAAAAAATTTTTTTAACCCAGTGCCATTGAGTTAATTCTGACTCATAACAGCCCTATATAGTTTCTCAACCTGTCAATCTTGGAAGACTGCCACATCTTTCTCCTGCAGAGCAGTGGGTAGGTTCAGATCACCGCCCTTTCAGAGAGCAGCTGAGCATTTCACTGCCCTGCCGCCGCTGCCGCCAAGGCTCTTGTAGGGCTCCCTCCAATCCCCATTGGGTTCATAGGAGAACATGTCGGTCCCCACTTAAGGTGGGGTTCCAGTGTGACAACTGCTCTCTTGTAGTTGATTCTAACATAAGTCAAATACCTTTTTTTTCCGTTTCATTATTATTGCTGTTTATTATCTATATCTTCATAAATCCAATTGTTCTTTGTCTTTGAAGCTTGGAAACATTAAATCTGAGAATGATAAAGTTCACTGCCATCCAATCATTCTTTGTCTTTGGACCTTGAAAACATTACATCTGAGAATGAGAGAATTCACTGCCATCGAGTCCATGCCAATTCATAGCAGCCCTCTAGGACAGGGTAGAGCTGCTCTGCTAAGTTTCTAAGACTGTAACACTTCGTGGGAGTAGACAGCTTCGTCTTTCTCCCAAGGAGTGGTTGGTGGTTTCAAACAGCTAACCTTATGGTTAGCAGCCCAATGCAGAACCACTACACTACCGTGATAAGGTTCACAAATTATGTGCTGCAGCTTTCGTATGTAAAACATGTTACCAATGATCAGATGTACAAAAGAGAGATAAGGACCACGGGGAGTGTGGCTTGTAGCCCAAATACATCATTAGCCGGGGACTACCTGTATGTGTATTATGTAGTAATCTATTACAATTCAAAATTTGGTTGTAGATTTAGGGGAGGCAGGTGCTCCCCCCCCCCACACACACACACACACACTCTCCTAGGAAGCATTGTGGCGTGGACTGCTTCGTTGGAAAGAGGGCCTGGTGATGGCCTATAGGAAGCTTCCTGGGTCCCCTGAAGTGTGACATAAAACAGTGAGGTTCGTCCATGAGATTCCAAACTCACATCGCAAGTGAGAGTGGTCCCTGAGGGTGGTCACTGGGGAGGCTCTGGTGGCTGCAGTGCTGCATCCAGGAAGCAGCACCTTCTGTTAGTTGTTGAGGACTTGCTTTCAGAGGCCACCGTTGTTTTGTCTTGCTGGTCATCCTGGTATCCATAACAGCCGTGGGTTTGAGTTTTGAGCAATCACGTCATGGGTAGCCACGTCTAGTAAGGAAAATGGAATGATGGATCAGATGATGTACTCCAGGGCCCCTGGTGTCTCAGAGAAAATTGTGCTTTTAGTAGTACAGTCCTGAATCCACTTGATTGGGTTCGTAGTAGAAGCCCTCAAGACCTGTAGGACTTCTAAGGCCCAGAGCCTGGGTAACCCACCTGTTAGAGAGAGTTCTCCGTCACAGACGTAAAACAGCTGCATTCAGTCTCAGAGAAGCTGGTCTTGTGCTCAGCAATCACTCGGCTGAGAACACCATATGTGGAGCATTCTTTGTTGTTAGAGCATTCTTTGATCCAGAAGATGTCGTCCAGAACAAGCCAGGTGCTGATAGCCTCTGTGCACTCCCTCAGAACTCCGGACACAAGCTTTCACATTTTAGCGATGCATCTGAGCTCCTTTCTGAATAAAATTTTGTTCCTCTGATTTCAGGTCTTTGACTAGATCTCTCCTTTGGTCCACTTGGGTCTCTGGTGTCGCCATGGAGCGTTTGGGTAGCTCCGTCAGGTTTGGTCCTTGGCGGCTTTCCTACAGTAGGAAGATCACTTTGCCTTCGAAAAAGACTTAACTCCGCCCCCCCCCCAAAAAAAAAATCTTATTGGGAGATATACAGATATATCACTCCATAGTTTAATCACATCAAACAGTACTGTACAATTGCTACCACAATCAGTTTCAAAACAATCTTTTCCTTCTTGAACTCTTTGACATCAGCCCCCTTTTATACCACCCCCACACCACTTTGCTCTCCAGAACCCTTATTCTATTTGCTGTCCCTATTCATCAAGCCTGGGCTTCATATACTGAAAAACATTTAACAAAAATTCAAGAGGGTCACCCCGAATGGCAAAGCACACCTGAGATTAAAAAAAACCCACATCTGAGATAAACCCTATATGAATAAACAAACACAAACGGTTGAAAACCAGATCAGGTCTAACATGGATCAGAGGGGGATAAACTGACCAGGTTTATCATTTTGATCTTCTGTAGTCATCTCTCCAATGTACTCTCGTTGGTAACCAGTTTCTTCCCCTCCCTGTATTACGGATAGAGGGAAATCACTGGACGCTTATTTCCTGCAAAAAGCCCACAAATGTATCTTGGGCTCCCACTGTAAAAAGACTTAACTTTTGCCATTACGTGTTTCATATTTTGCTTAATTACGCTTTGGTCTAAGCTCCAGATAGTTTTGTTTTTTGAACTCTGATTGACAATCAGACGCTGAAGTTCTCATCAACTTGAAACAGCACACGGTCCTGCTTGCCTCCCCGCTGGTACAAGATTATGGGCTGAATGGTAAACATGGGTGTTGTCCTTAAGATGCACGGCGATGTCAGTGATGCCCACCGAGCGAAGCCTCTCTATGCCAGGTTCTGTGCCACGTGCCAGGGCTGTCATGAGGCCCCGGGGAGACCCCTCGCTCAAGGAGTTAGTGTGAGAGCCACCCCCACCACGACAGCTCATTTGAAAACTCGGCAGAAGAACAGCAAAAACTTCCTTTTCCTTGAGTCTGAGCAGACTATGCAGAACAATTTTCCAGCAGCCAGGAAAACAGAGAAAGCAATGCTGGGGCCGAAGCACTGGGCATGTCCCTTCCGAAGACTGTAGGGTGTTCAGAGGGTGGTTAAAGGGTCCACGGAAGCAGCTTCTTGGAAGTCCAGTTCTCAGTGAAAGGATGCTCTCCCAGGGCAGGGCAGAGGCTTTCAGAGTTGTGTACAGCCCCGGGCTCCTTTCCTGCACATCCACCTCTGCAGCCACAGGCCCCTTGCCAGCCAAGCCTGCTCTCCCAGCCTTGTGGGCTTGACCACGTTACCCTTGAGAAAAATGACCCTCTCCTGGTGCACCGGCTCTCCCCGTGCCAGTGTCCCATTTCCTGGACTTTGGTCCACTGGGTGCGGTTCCCATGGGAGAGTTGCCCTGGCGCCCCTTTGTATGCAGACTAGCATTTAAAGATGGACAGTCGAAAGTGATGTTTCCTTTAATCGCAGGAAAACCAAAAATTGTATCTGAAATTATGACAAATAACATGTGCATTTGTTGTCTTCTAGGTCTTCAGAGTTCTCGGAGTAACCCCTCCATCCAAGCCACGCTCAACAAGGCTGCCCTCTCCTCCTCCCTAAATAGCCACACGCAGACATCCATCCCCAATGCCTCTGCTCTTCATCCTTCGCTCCGTTCGTTTTCCCGTAGCAACCCATCCCTTTCCACCACAAACGGCGGCCTCTCTCGGCGGAGGCAGCCACCCATCAGCCCTCTCACGCTTTCTCCTGGCCCAGAAGCACATCAAGGTTTCAACAGACAGCTCTCTTCAACCAGCCCACTGAACCAGTATCCTGCCTCCCAGGTAAAAAATGAAACAGCACTTAACCAGAATGATGCTTAGAGGACTTACTTTCCCTGTCTGCATTGTCCTGCATTAGTTCCAGTGTGCCAAACATCCACGAGGTCTCAAATGCAGTCGGTTCTCACACAAGGAATCAGAGCGGAAGCGTGTTAAGTGACGAGGGCTGGTGGTGTGGTGATTGTACGTTGGGCAGCTAACCACTAGGTCAGCAGTTTGAAACCACCAGCCAAGCTACAAGAGAAAGACAATGCTCTCTACTCCTGTAAAGAGTGATAGTCTCAGAAACCCACCGGGGGCTGTTCTGTCCTGACCTGTGGGGTCTCTGTGAGGTGGAATCGATCGGATGGTAGTAAGTTTGGTTTGGGGTTTGGAACCATGGGGTTGTGGTATTCATTACTCTGAGGCAAATGTGAAGGAATTCACATCACTGCTGCTCACCAACTTGGGGTGGGAGAAGGGTAAACTGTGAAGAAATCAATGCAGATAATATCCAAGATGGCTGAGGGAAACCAAGTTAGGATTTGAACATTGGAATGGGATGAACAATAATTGACTAACGGGGAAGCCTCAGAAGACATTTAAATATCTTCCTAAAGCTTTTAACTTGATCAGTTATGACTGTAGATTTGACAAAGTATACCTTTATTGCACATCAAATACTAGGTACCATAAAAATTGCATTTCTGTAAAAATATTAAAAGGAGTCCACTTAGGAAGAGGCACATTTGTTTCGTTTTTGAATGTTTTATTGTGAGTTGGAGAAAGTTTGCTGAACAAATCCATTTCCCATTCCACAGTTTATACGTATTTGTTTCGTGACATTAGCAGCAGTTCCCTCAATGTAATAGCACTCTTCCCACCTCCTCCTCGGGTTTTCTGTTTCCATTCACCCATCTTTCCTGCCTTCTGTACTTTATTTCTGGGCAAATGCTGCCCTTTCGGTCCGTGTGGGCCGCATTCTGAGGAGAACAAGTGAAGAGGTACATTGCGAAGTCACAAGCCTGTTGGCACTTTGACTAACGGCTTTTTTTAACTTGAAACTTTGGGGTGGCTCTCCTTACCGTAATTATCCTATTGTTCACTCCTTAGATACCTTATGACATCATTAACTTCTCACCACTTCTCCATCAGTGAGTAATCATTTAGCAAGAAGTTGATGGAGTACACCGCAAGGAGGTAGAAGACTAGTATGTATGAGTCACTCTTCACTGATTACTAGCATCTGAGTAACCTCGAGAGAAGGGGAGGAAACATTTCATAATTGGTTTTTGGTGACTCTTTTTTATGTTATTTAAAAGCCCTGGTGGCATAGTGGGTTAAGCATTGGACTGCTAACCTGAAGGTTGGCAGTTCAAACCCCCCAGCTACTCCACGGGACAAAGATGAGACAGCCTGCCGTTGCGCAGATTGACAGTCCCAGACACTCCGGGGAAATGCTGCTTTGTCCGGTGGGTCAGCATTGATTCTACAGTAGTGAGTGGAGTTTTCATGTTACTGACTTGCTTTTCATTTTCTTTTGGGAGATTAACTTGCAGGATGTAAACACTTTTATTCTTGCCTTCTTGCGACATTTTAAGGGGACTATATGGTAGGGTTAAAAACCTTGGTTGCACAGTGGTTACAGCGCCCAGCTCCTAGCCAAGAGGTCAGTGATTCAAACCCCCCTGCTCCTCCAGAGGAGAAGGATGAGACTCACTCCTTGGGCCAAGTGCACTCTGTCCTCCAGGACCACTATGAGCTGGGACTGACATGACAGCTGCGCGTTCGGTAGTCATGGATATGGGGGCATTCTCTCTTTCAGTGATTTCAATTTTATAACTTAATGGCTTTTTAAAAAATTGTGTGTGTGCACATAGTTCAAGGATTTAAGTAATTCTGAAAAGCTTGGTATAAAAAAAAACAACGATTCTCTTTTCCTGTTCCAATAAGCACATTGATCACTGCTTAGGAATGGCTGCTTTCAACCATTTTAGCAAATCCCTTCAATTATTTCATACTGATTTTGGTGGTTTGGCGTTATACGGTGGATAGTTAGGATTTCATCCTCTTGTGCCCATCACTTATATACATCCCATCTTTATGTAGCTAGAATAGTGTGATCAGAGTCAAGCTGCATAGTCTATCATGAAATAAGTAGACTATTGTGAAATAAAAAATGTTTTATTCTCAAAAAGTTTAATAAATATGTGGATTTTTTATTAATCTGGTTTTATACATATATCTAACTAATTCAACCCTAAACCCTTGAGGGGAGTTGGACAAATCACTCCTGGAGACATTTAAATACATATAAATCCTCCAGTCATGTTATGACTGAAAAAGTCTGGGTGGATGGAAGGTGGGTGGGTGGTTGGGTACTATTGAGTGGCTCCAGCTAATAACAACCTTACGTACAGTAGAATGAATCATTGCCCAACGCTGCGTCATCCTCATGGTCCAGTCCATCACTGCCACTGTTGTGCCACCCCATGTCCCGGAGGCTCTGCCTGCCCCTCATTGGCTGACTACTTCACCCAACACCGCTCTGCCTCCACTGATTGATTCCCCCAGCGAGTCTGACAGTACTTTGTTGTGATGCATAAGGTTTTTTAGACTTTGCTCTCCAAGCCCCTCTTTTTAGCCTGTCGGCGTAGGAAATACTGGTGACATCACCTCCAGCAACACAACCCGCAGCACCCAATTCAGTACCCTCAAGTCAGTTCCAACTCACAGTGACCCTATATGGGCCTCCCAAGGCTATAAACCTTGATGGGAGCTGACAGCCTCGGCGCCTTCTCCAGCCGGCCAGCAACCTGCACACCACCCTACTGACTGTGGGATGGTAGGTTTGTAGTCCACCTTTCATCTAATGGATACTATGCCCCTTGGGATTGCTGATTTTGTAAAATTAATTGCCTTCTAATATCTAGAGTTTCTCCTGGGAAATCCAAGGCTGTACTGATACTTGGTACTTCAGATGAAGTCCTCTTTTTCCTCTGGAAGGTTGTAGCATCTTCTTTTTGTCCCTAGTGTGCAGAAACGTCAAGATACCGTGGTTTTCCATCAGTCAGTTTTCACCTGTGAACTTGGATGCTTAGTGGGTTCCTTTAATCTGGATATACATCCTTCTGGGTTTTATTTAATTATTTCTTTCATGGTTTCTTCTCCATTTCTTTCTGATATTTATTTCTGGAACTCCTGCTGTGTGAATATTAGATGGCCTAGACTGACCCTGACCCTTTTTAGACCTGGTGGCATAGTAGTTTAAGTGTTGGACTGACAACTGCAAGGTGAGTGGTTCAAGCCTACAGGGGAGAGAAGCTATGACCGTTCCAGAAGCCCTCAGGAATTGTCGGTGCTGTCTTCCAGGGTCGCCGTGAATGGGCATTGACTCAGTGGCACTGGGTTTGGTTGTTCTCTTGTGTGTGTGTGTTTCTTTTTGGAAGAATTATCTTCCAAAGGTTGTTCTCTTGTGTGTGTTACTTTCTGGAAGAATTTCTCAAATTTATCTTCTACCTTTTCTATGAAGTTTTTTATTTCTGCTCTCATACTGCTAAGTTTCTCAGAATCCTTTTGTTTGTTTTCTTAATATTCCTTTTACATCATATTTGTTTCATGGATGTAATATTTTATATCTCGAAGAAATTTAGTAGAAATTTTTATTCAAATTTATTTTACGTAGGCTTTTTAAAAAAATCATTCTATTGGGGGCTCATACAACTCTTATCACAATCCATACAAACATCAATTATGTAAAGCATATTTGTACATTCCTTACCCTCATCATTCTCAAAACATTTGCTCTCCGCTTAAACTGCTGGCATCAGCTCCTCATTTCCGCCCCCTCCCTCCCCGCTCCCCTCTTCCTCATGAACCCTTGATAATTTATAAATTATTATTTTGTCA